TGTCGGACGTCGGCAATCCCCTTCAGCAAGATTCGACGTACAAACCATTTGCGGCAAGGGCACAGGAATCATCCTACGATGCTCCAGGCAACGCTATGTACACAAGCAATTCTGCTTGTAAGCCGTTGTCTTGCAGAGTGAAAGTAATCGTGGTTGCAATGGTTGCAATAATCACGCGTCTCTAGCTTCCTTATCTCGCCGTTTCAAGTGATGAAAGTGGTATATTTTTTATGAACTTACGAAGCCGCACCTCCACCTCCACTGCCCTTAGGAAAAACATGCCAAAGTAGTTGAGATCGCCGCAGTCGGACGGGAAAGTGTCAGAAGGCATGGGGTGAGTCCATCCGCGGCATTTTCGCGACGATGTAAGCGGCGTGATATCGCACGTTATCAAGTTTGGCATACTTTAGGTAGCTTCCAGATTATGCGATGACGCGCTTCGACGCGCTACAATTGCAACGGCGCCCCAATCGTATAGACGCGAACGCCGCAGACGGGAGTGGATCAACGCCGATGTCCTAATGGCTGGTGCCAATCGATACCAGACTGCGTGAGCGATTGGTACCCGTCTGCGGCTGCGTTCGCGTCTATAACTTTGAAGCGCCCTGGCAGATGTAGCGCGTAACAGCGCGTCGACGCGCGTCGCAGCGAAGTCTGAACTTTGGCTCAGACATGCTGCTTGCTAGCGCTCACTCCTGTTTTATTATATTGGGGGGGGGGTGCTATCCATTTACACTTCTCATTCTGAGGGAGCGAATTTATTGAAGCTGCTCTGTTGCATTTAAGTAAGCGAATTATTCCTACATGGTGACAGAACTGAGGAACTGCCTAATGTCTAGGAGATTTCTAGAGCTATTCACTCCAAATCAGGAAGGTAGATGAGAAGGTCACTTAATTTTTCTAAGCTGTAGTTCATGAACATTTCTAGAATGACGGAACAACAGAACAAGAGGAACTGGTTTGCTGCACTAATTCATTTATGAAAACGTACTCGTTTTGAATCCGTTTGGGACTTCTTGTTTTTTCCAGAGGGGGTTTCACCTTTCAAATTGCCTCTGGCCGAAGAACGAGTACTTTGCTTCTTCTACAAAAAAAAATCAGATCCTCGTTATCTGCGCAAGCATGTAGAAGATAGTAGTACTGCTGTCGAATAGAAACGTACGCTTTTTGGTGTGGAAGTAGCCTGGGCGTCTTCAGACTGGACTCCACCCTTCATAATGCTTCTGACCGATGAACGAGTGCTTGCACTCTTCTTCAAACAAGTAAGAATTATCATTATTTAGCGACATTATGTCGAGATCAGCACTACTACTGTTTAAATGGAACGTACGCTTTTTGGTGTAGGACTGGCCTGGATATCTTCATAAGCACCCTCAGCATCTTCAGTTTTCGTGATATCTTTGTCTATTGTCCGACCCTGGACGCTTGACTTCTTCTTAATTGAAGGGAATTTATTTTAAGTTCAAAAAACAATATGCCACACAAAAATAGTCATGGTCTCGTTCCCGTGCCGGCCACTAGCATGGCAGTGTTGGTGTTGGCACCAGAAGCTGCTAAGCTTTCAGTACTGCCCAAATGCAGGAGTAATGGCAATCTGTACGTTCAGCAGCCGAAGCCCATACTGAAAATCTACAAGTTACAAGGATATCGTCATCGGAGTGACCGAGGCGACGCTGTTCATGAAACTGTAGAGGAACTATTCCCGGAGCACGCGATGCCAGAAACTTTCGAGAAAGAAGGCTTTCTATCGGTACCATTCTGCCTAAATTCGTCAGTGCTGCCGACGACGTCGTCCCCCTGAACTAAGCATCCAACTAAAGAGCAAATGCCGGCATATTCCGGCTGCGCGTGCGAGAAGACCTGCTCAAAGATGAATCTGAGGACGATGATTTTCAGTAAAAATTGATAGGTTCCTGATGTCCAGTTCGCGGTCAGCAGAACGGACCTCTCTGAGTGTCCTACCTTGTTAGCTGCGGATGTTGGGGGCGTGCCAGGGGAGCTGAGTTTGGCGCGGCACCAGCTCGTTTTCCACCAACTGCTTTCGCTTGACCGCTTCAACAAATGGTGGAAAAGTAACTGGCGCCACGCCACACTCAGCCCTCTGAAAAGTCCCCAGCATCAGCGAACAAGACTGCATATCCATCAATTGCGATCATTGTGATCTATCAGAGCTAAATACAAAGAAGCTAGTGGGCTTTGGAGCATTCAAAAATATGCTACAAAGAATATCAAACATTCGAGACCCCCCCCTGAATCAACATCATGGAAGCACGCCATTTGATTTGTCACGATGCCATCTTAGCGCCGAAGGTTGAGACTAACCGACGACTGTCGGAAAGACATTGGAGGCGTTTTGAGTTGCTGCCAGGGAACTTGAAATCAATATGAAGGGGAGCTGTGCGGCTGCGCTGCAAGCTCGCATACTATCGACTAAACTGAGTTTCCATCTGCGAGGTTGCGTGGTTGAACTAGTGTCAGTACTCCAGGTTTACCCCTTCATATCGGTTTACTTCAAGGTGAGGCTGCGTTCATACTTTGCGGCAGCGTCCATCAGCGACCACCAGCGCTCCGAGCGCCCGCCGGCGACTACGAAAGTATAGATATCGATCTAGCGAACGGCAAGGTCTACTAGATCCCACCAGTATCCGCGAGCAACTGTCAGCGTCTCGAAGAACTAGAGAAAAATGTGTATCGATCTAGAGCCTGCTAGCGTCCACCAGTGACCAGCAGCGTCAGCCAGCGACCAATAGTACGGCGTTATGTAGCAGTAGGGTGCAGCTACACAAGCCTCAATTTTACGGCGCATAATCCTGCTGTCTCCTCCTTCCTACTTCCCCATACTCTACCAGCAGTCTGCTGCCCTCCCTTCCCATACTCTCTACTGTGGTCATCATTGGTGGACGCTGGTAGACGCTAGATCGACATCTGTACATTCCTAGTCGCTCGAATCGCTGATGGTCGCTGGTGGACGCTGACGCAAAGTATGAACACAGTCTAAGGCATGATTTCCTCGACCCACATCGCTGGATGTTCCCGGCATATGCACTTGAGTAGGTTTTTCGATTACCTTTTTGCTGTTCCAATTGCAGCCCCCATAACTATGCTATAAAATCAGAGTGAACTTTGAAAATCTTGCAACCTTTTTGAGCTGAAAATCAGCAAACATTCGCGTGACGTCTCTGAGCCTCCCTTGAGTATCAGTCATCATCGTTGACAGCTACACTTTATCCTGAAATGTAACCAGAGTAAAGAGTTTAGACCTATGAGAAACATCTGTGGAAAGATCGGGCGGCGTGTGCAAAGCATCACGGTTAGGCAGGGACTTAAGGTTCTGTACGAGCGCTGTCGAGAAGGGGTTGATGCTCCTCGTAGGATGAGAGGGTAACTACGCGATGTTAGCCAAGCGCCACTGCAGCCACACGTACATTTGTGGAATGGGTATATGACAAGAGAATCGTAATTCGCCGCGCTGATGGGCGTCGCGTGCGACGTCGCGCCTGCAAATGACGATGGTTAATGGCGACAACAGGCAATTCAGAACCGAAAATAGTCATGAATGTCTACGATGACGGGGTCTACATGAAGTCCGGTGCTCCAATCGACAGGTTAACACGAGTTAAGAAAACGCCGCGCCCATCGCCGCGCGCGGCGGAGCGGCAAATTACGATTCTCTTGCCCGTCTCTCGACTCGTAGGTGCTGGAAATGAATGTAGACCGTGGCGTTAAGGAATGAAGAAGGCATTCGCTTTATCGCGAGCGCCCAGAGTTGCTATAATTCATTCTGCCACGCTGCTTATCGGGCAACCTTGTCCAAGGAGGACGTTTGCACGCCAGGCAAGGATATGCCTTCCAGTAATGATACGTTGGGTTTGCTTTTGTTGATGATATTAGATGTCTGAATATGAGCT